ACAAACGGTTAAAATATTTTAGTTATCTCTAAGAACTTTTCGAAAGAACACTCAAGTTTCCCAAGTAGGTTTGTCTGCAAATTTTTAACCTCTAAAGAGATAGGAGCAAACATTTAGAAACTCATGAGCATCTTTAGGCATATCCGAAACAGGGAAGTGTTTTCATACGCAGCTTCTTTTGCGTGAAAACCTTATTGAATGGCGAATGGATTACAAACTTTCAAAATAAAAAAAATCCAAAACTAAGGTACTCAACTTAGAATTCCCAATTTCTTGATAATTGATATCTAAGTGTTTAGATAAACTGGCAGTTAGCTGGACCGGTGGTCGTCTAGCTGTTGAGTAGAAAGATAGTGCAAAGAACTTGGACAAACAACGATAGTCGACCGAGTAAACGCCAATTTTTATCTAGCGGCCAAAGTCGCCAGTCGAAATATTTAGCCACTAAAAGCGGCATTCTGATGATTCAGCTTTTATGAATAGCTGTGGCACCTGGCTGCAGATTTCATCGGAAGGAAGTCAAATAGTCATTTATCTGAAAAAAGGACAATCGCTACCGAATTGATCGAAACTGACCATGTTGGGGCTGGCAGACACTTTTAAGCAATCAAGAGACAATTGATTTGGCGCCTTTATAGGACATTTGAAAAACGCTGGTCAGTCGAAGAAGAACACAACTTTCACCAAGACTTTATTTTACCTATAGGCTTCTTCAAATAAAATGCTTTTATTAAGAGTCTATTAGTGTTTGAATGAACTTTAACTGCCGATGATTAATCAGCACGAAACTCCAGTAAATTCCCATTCCTAACGTATATAGTATAGTAACCTACTTGTCTAAACCGATTCGAATGCAAGAACAATAATTTTAAGAATAGCCAATAAATGCGTGAAATAACCTTGATTTTTTTCGTTATTATTCAATTATTTCGTTCTGCAATGCCTTTGTCGCAAGCCTGGTTCAAGTGAACGTAAAAATACTGTAATTCCAACAAGGAACTGCCAAACAGGTAGTATTTTACTTAAAAAATTATTAGTAATTTCAAGGTTTGTTCTTGATGATTTTAACAAAGATGTGAACGTTCTCATCTCTATTGTTTTTCATTAACCGCGTGTCATGTAAGGAAACATGTAAATGTCCGCACAAAATAAATCAATTGTTTCAAGCAGCTGTGAAAAAAACCAGGAACATGCTAAATTGTGTTTTAATATTAATTAGTGGTTGTTGAGTTAAATCGAATATATTTTTGGCAATTTTGTTTCCAAAGTTATAACTGAATTTATCGGAGAAACAGTTTGGTTCCGAGCCAGCAATTTATTTCAAGTTTATGACCATTTCTTCCGTTATTAATTGAAATTTTAAAGTCCAACATAATTCATACAGTTCAATGTTTAAATATAGAAGTTGATTAATAACCCTCTAAATATTGTCCGCTTTCTTTAGCAAATGTTCAAAAAATAATGATTTGCAGTTTTTTCTTGAAGTAATAATTAACAATTCGACATGTTGAAACAGATATGGTAATTTAACATCACAATTATCACTCAAATGGGCGAAGCAATTAATTTAGAAACAAGGTCGCAATAATGCCACTTTCTTGACCAGTTTCTCAAATTTGTCAGGAAAGTTGCGTCTTTTTGCATAATTTTAATCAATTGGAAGATTTTTAGAGTGTGTGTGTGTAATTTGTGTAAATACATTTAACTCTGTTGCAAATTTTTGCCAAATTAAGCAACTAATTTAAAACGTTCTGGATTCATTGCAACTGATGCGCAAAAGTAGAAATCAGTTGGAAATAATTCATAATTCTTAATAGCATGCTGAATGAAAAATTACCGGGTAAAGGAAATTAAGGACGAATTTTCAGAACGGAAATTCGAGTAGTTTCAGTACTTTCTTCCAGTGCAACAGTTACTTGAAAAAACATTTAACTAGTTTAAAACGCGAATTTTTCAAGCGTTTCTCTCGCGCATGCAAACATGCAACATCAACAATTGCAATAATTAGTTACTGATTTAAAATAGCACTTAATGATTTAAACTGGATTGATTGAGTTTGTGAAGCAGAAAAAATATGAAACGATCTCAAAAACTGGACGATTAAAAAATCTGCGTGGCTCATGAGATAAACAAAAAATCCTGTGTTTTCTCCCGTTATTGCAATTATAATTACGTGTACACTACAATTACAATTAAGTAATTAACCATTAATTACACAGAGCTTCAAGAAAACAAAAATTGTTTCTTGTACTCAAGTACTGAGTTACTCAAGAATTAAGTTATAATTTATTAGGAATCTTAATTAACAGAAATATGTGAAGAATGCTAAATACAAGAAGAAGCAAATAATTATTTAAAAATTATGTTTTAAGCGCCATTTTTTGAAAGTTGGAACTAATACCAAGTGGATGTTCCAGATAATCAACACGAATTGCTCTCACTAAAATAAACCCTTTCCTTCATAAAATATGGCTTTAAAATTTCTTCATGTTTTGACTAAACGCATTGAAAATCTTCCACAGGGTTCACAAATTCTACTAAATCCTGAAAGTAAACTTAAAATAACGTTATAAATATATTTTTTAAATAGACTTAATAACCAAACCACTGTATAATTTTGGAATTTTATGCATTAAAAACTCCCTTGAATCTTTCCAGCTTTCCTCAAAATATTCCCAGCTTTATGCCCTTAGATTATGAATAAATTTTCAATTAAACTGTTTATTGAACAAGAAGTTAAATTATAATTAATTAGTAACGCTTCCCAGTCGTACCAAAAATGATATCTGACTATTGGTACTTAATTGGAATTTTCCCTCTTGTTCAATGAACGTTTTCTTTTGCTGTATGATGAAACCGTCCCATTAGATATGCACACAAGGTTATTTTATGTATTTATATTTAATGGAATATTACTTACCGGGCAAACAAAGCCCAGAAAGTTCAATGCGCGTTTCCTCTGTTAATATGGAAAATCTAGCAGAAGTGAAACGGTTTCTTGGAAAATTATTTTCCGTGTAAGAGTAGGGCAAGATCATTGCCTTCCTTGTAGATGTTACAAAACTGCTTGCATAAACAAGCTGGGTAGTGGAATCAAAGCGATTTTTCACTATTAATATTACGAAACTGTTTGATTTTATGTTACGCGTGAAAAGATAAAATTATGTTCTTCGAAGAACGGCTTTTCAAAATGTTTTGTAATTGGGTCTATGAAGAACGGCCATTTTTCAACATCTGAAAAGAACGCAAAAAAATATGCATCGCGTGTGTCTACAGAAAAATGCGGAACAAAATTTCAGTTATCGCTGGTTTTTAATGAATTATTTAAAGAGAAATTCGTCATTGTTTCAGTTAGATAACACTATCTTATTTGATCATTTAATGACTTTCTACATAAATTGATAATCGCAAATGTTAAACGTAAACCCTCTTTAAGGCGAAAATTGATGAAAAACCGATTTTCCACTAGTTGCTTTAAAGGTTTTTATTGAATAATTTCGATCAAAACATACTCAATCAATCATAGTTTATCCTTAAAAGCCCATCATCCATTTAACAATACTAAAATGGTTGTTGTCAACATTTATTGTGATTATTTCATTTTCTATTGCAATATTGATAACATTAATTAATACATAGAAAAATCCGTTAAACGGTTTCTAGTACTGAACTAACGGGAATTTTGATAAGTCGTTTAAACATACGACTTCAGTATGTTTATCTTCTTAATAACAGTTTTGCGATAATTATTCATAACCGCGATTATTTTCCCAATCAGCTAAACATACATTAATGTGCATGCATATATTCGATATGGTGAGAAAAGAAACTGGAAGTCTACACATGCGACACCCTAAAGAGGTCAAATCCCGGTCCAAAACGGGAAAAAACTTTTTAAACTTGAGCCTCAGGGGTTGGGTATAATAAAAGGACCTTTTTAATAGCCGCCAGACAACATGGGGTTCTTTGTGCATTTACGGACGGTTAGGTAATTATAGTTTCTTTTGTTGCTTCGTGCAGTCCTAGGCAAATAATAATTTTCATATTGGTAGTTTTTTTGTTACATTGTCTTGGAATTTGAAGAGCGGATTTGTGGTGAGAATTTCTTAAGCAGAGAGTGAAATTTACAGGAATTTTTCCGTTTTGAAGCGTTTCATTTTTGTTTGATAAAATATTGAAAAATGTGCAACAGAAGGTAAACAATTTAATTTGAGGCAATAATTTTGGAAAGAAAACCAACTACAAAACTTGTGTGCTGTTGAAAAAGCCACTAATTAACTAGATAAAATATTGCTTTCTTCAAAACGTTAATTTCAAAATTGTCCTAGTTTAATTGGGCGTTAACATTATCCGATTTAATTACAAATAATTGCATTTCTACATAAACTACGCAAATAAAGCATGTATTAAGCGAAAGCGTAACAAACTAATATTCGTGTTCATGTGTCTTGAGCTGGTTTTTTTTCATTGCCAATATTGAACGTAGCTATTAATAAAAATAATTTAGTTAGCAACATTTCCGAAACCAATTAATAATTAAAATCACTTCTGTTACCTAATGGCCACATGAAGAAACCTCACTCAACATTGCAAATAATCCGTTGTACAGGCACCCATAAATTACAATAAAATACGAAATAATACATTCGCTTTTCGCATAAGCGCAATTACAGTATTCGACAATCGAAAATTAATAATTTCTATAGTTTCATTGCAACTAAGTAATAATGGTATTCATGCATTTGCGGTAGGAGTTTATGAGCCTAATAGTAAAAATCTGAAAATTGTTTCACTTTCCTTCCTTGCTTGAACAATGCAGTTGGATCGGAAAGCGTGCATTTTATCCTAGTCTGAACCGCAACATAAACAACCAAATTACTTATTTTAGTGCATCCACTTAACATACATTTCTTCGTACGTTGAATAACATCAGTCACGAATATAGCGTCGTTTTCGTAATACGGAATTATTTTTTGACTTCCTGATCTTTAACTTTTCAGCCAATTTGCTCGTCAAGTATCCCACAGAACGACTCTGGTATTCCCGAAGAGTGCAAGTTAAATCCGGCCAATTGTTGGTCTCATCGGCTCAGAAAACCGATCTTCCTTTAAGGATACCGCTGAGAAATCTGAGTCTTCAAGCTGGATCCACTATTCATAGTTTGTCGATCTGTCGTGGCCAAAATATTGTCTTAACGCTACAGGTAAGCCTAACTATTCCGCAAGCAAGAAAGAAGTCATTGTAAGAACAAACATACTTGGAAATTTTATGAGTTTTTCACTCATTTTTTAGTATTTTAATATGAGAGAGCAACCAAAAGGCTTAAATAATAGTTAATTAAATGATGATGACTTCTGATGGATAAAATATTGGTTTTTGCTATTTTCTTACTCAATTTTACTTCTGCAGTTTAAAGCATTTGAGCACACTTTGTTAACAATTTACAATTTTTAGTGTGCAATTTACAAAACTCATATTTTTACTATTTATATAGTTTTTATAGCAGTATTTATATAACACATTTTCATTGTCGTAAGACATAAAGTTTGCTATTAATCAGAACGTTGTTCCCTTTGAGCAATGAATTATTTAGCACTTTATGCTTTCCAATTGAAACATTTTCATTTTTATTGTTAGTTCTCCATTCTCACTCTTTAGTCGGCGTATAAAATTAGTGATTTTGCACATTCTTTATTTTGCAATTGATAAAACGTTAAACTAAATTTTATATTAATAATAAACAACTAAGTTGTATCTTCACTGTGCATTCCTTTTATAATATATATTGCGTTCTTCCCAAAATGTCCAAACATTTTGCAAAGATCGGTTTTTAAATTACTTTGTTTATTATTTTCTTCAGGTAAAATGCATTTCCTGCATTTAAAAACTACCCATTTTAAATCGTAGTAAAATGGATTTCTTATCGAAAAACACTGGAATTTCCATGGATGAAACATTTAAGCTGAGAACCTAAAAAACCAATTGTTCTTCCTAATCCCAAGTCAATTATTCGACCAGTTTTAGGAGCAACACTTCAAAATTATTACATTGAAACATTAAAGTTATATGAACAAAACTCCCTTAATTGCCATTTTAATTTTCACTGAATAACTGAAACATATTGATCCAAACCGTTATTTGCAGCATTAGAAGCAAAAGTGGAAATTATTTGGACTAGAAATGATTTATTAGTTATTTGAAGTTGAAAAATCGTAAACCATTGCAGTCGGGTGTAGATATTTACATTATAAATTGAAGTTTTCGGTAAAAACATTTGTGTTTACCCTTTTTTAAATATTTTGACTTAAAACTAGCGTTTACTAGTACAATAGTTGGAAAATAATGCAAATATCCGTAGAACCAGAAAACATAACTTTCCACACCCAGAGTGGAAATTGCGCCCGAAATTGGATCACTTTTGCCAGAAAATAAGGGAATTAATTCAGATGAACAAAAATTGTAGGTTTTTAATCAAATCAATAAATTTTAAGCAAATAATTTAACTTAGCCATATTTAAAATTTGGTCAGTTTTTCGTGCTCTTCGTGCTTTCGTCCCATCTGAAGATGCAAGTCACTAGTGTTTATGAAACGTCAATAAAAAAAATTTTCTACGGCAAAAAACACGAAAAACTTTTCAGTTTTTACCAGAAACCGAAAAGCCTAATTCCTTTGATGAATCAGATTATTTAGATTTTTCTTTTTGGGCCATTTTTATCGAGAGAAAAACAATTTGGACGACATTGTCAGTATTTTCATTAAAAAGAAATATTTATCGTTTACTACTAAAAAGCGACAATTATGCCCACTAAATCTAGCACCTTTACATAATAATAATGTCTAAACTTTCACTAACCTTTTGTAAAATTACGACTAAAGCAGCATTAATGTGGACAAATTTAGCCAAAAATTATGTGAAATAATTGTCAGTTTTAGGTGCAAAACGGTCCACTAAATCCTGAATTTTGCTGCGTAAAAATTGCAGTAATTTGCAAAAACGCATTCATTAGTCGATTTGACTGGAAATAACTGGCAAATATTTCAACTAAACCACATCCATTCGCATTTTCCTCTGCAAAAACTAAAGGTCACTCGGTTTTTCGATCGGTCAAATGCACACAATTTAATTCATTTAACTCGCATTGAAACTGACCTGAAAGAAAAATCCCACAATCAGACAATTAACATGAAATTGTTTTTAATAATTGCCCACCAATTGATTAGCATGTAATGCGTATTAGTTATTGGGTCTATGTTCATCTTCTACATCTTATTTCTTCCATTCAATTCCTTATAAATAAAACAATACATGAAATGTCCTTGCAATTACAAAACCATTAATGTCGTAGGACGACGGCATACTTTGCGAAATACTAACAACCTTCTATAAGTTTCGCTACAACAATTGCCGGTTTATTGTCGCAATTTTTCAGCGACAATTTATATGAAGATTAATGGGTGGCGATTTTTATCAAAATGCCACTTTCGATAGAGGATAAAATTGCCAAAGCACAGGCCATGCTGGATATTACGTCTTATTTCCCCTTTCTGAGGTTTATGAGATTGAGCATTTAAACTTTTTTAAATAATTAGTTCTAATTTTTTAAAGGCTTTCTACTTTTATTCTCGTATTGCCACTATTATACGAAGGAAACCGATATTAAATTAAACAGTTTTTTGTTTGCTTCTGTCTCATACGCAACATGTCTTTAAAATATGTAACCATTTTTTATCGTTTTTTTGCCGTACTTGCGTCAATGAAAAGCCAACGCTCACGAAGTGGTCCAGATGTTAAACATGAAATGTTTTTTTTGTCAAAGTTCCGCAAGAATGTTGATGCAACATGTAGCATTTGCATTTCTTGTCTTGCACTCACATCCAGGCCATACGAGCTTAATGAATTATGCAAAGTTGAAATATTAGTTTGATTGAATTAAATTGATATGATTCATACGATGGGTGTTTATTTGCTTTAAATGTCGTGTTAAAAACTGAGTTAAAATCATTCATTCAGAACTGAAATTCGTTTATAATACCGGATTGTGTGCATTAAATTTGTGTTTCTATGGAAAATTTATCAAATCCTGCAGCTAAATTAATTTTTTATTTATCTGGTTACAAGATGTTTTGCATTTCTTCAGCCATCCCTCTGCTGTTAACTACACACTATACATACCTATAGATTCGGAAAAGGCAATAATCCGGAAAAGTTGCAGAAAACGTGTTTCTTTTCTTGGTGATTTCATATTCAAACACTTCTGGAATTTATCAGGCAACTTATTCCGAACTACATGAAAACAGCAAATTTTACTATCAACTTTATTGCTAACTTCCTCCCTTTCAACGAAATGTAAACTCCCGAAAGAGTTTCACTCTTGGAAAATTATGGAGTGTTGGAAAGTTTGCAATGTTTCAAGTGAGGTCAAGGATACAAGCTTGAAATGAAATTTTAATAATGTTTTGTTCAAACCCCGACAAACCATAAAAAAAATTTGAACCATTTTTTGTTAATTACTGAGTACTTTAATAACACAGATTAATTGTTTGTATAGTTTGTACATACATGTGTGCAAAACTGTGGGAAAAAACTACAAACGTTCATTAAAAATTAAGTTTTTGCAAGCATTTTTTAAGCCTAAAGCACTGTTTTTCTGTTGTAGATGGCCGATGAAACCTCCTTCGACAGATGGGTGAAAACTCTGGCTATCGAACTGATCCGCCAAACTCCTCTGGACGCGATCAAATACCTGGATATCCTCACTTTGGCCAAATGTTGGAGCAGGATAGAAAGGAAGTGTGCCAAAGACCTCAACGACAACAACGTCATCCTGCAAAGAGATTCTGAGAACAACCAGAGAGTCGATGAAGAAACGCGACTTGTTCCAGGCTGCTGTGAGAAATTCCCGTTGAAAACGGGAAATGTTGCCAAAGCAATTTCGAAGAATAATAGCTCAGAAGTGCGACCGAATGATCCTGAAGAGGTGGTTGAATCATTGCTGAAGAAATGCCAGAACGTTGAAACTTATGTGCCAGTAAAGGAAAAGCTGTTCTTGTTCGAGTCCTTGTGTAAGATGGGAAGAAAAGTGCGCAGCTCGGAAGATGTTTCTTTGAAGCCGCAAAAATCGACCACCAAGAGAGCTAAATCTTGCCATGATTTGAGTAGCTTGAATACCCAAATAGCTGTAAGGGAAATTTGCAAATACTTTGAAAAGAAGGGAACTGGAGATGAACTAAAACATGCATGAGTTCGATTGGAGAAATGTTAAACAGTTTACCTTAAGTGTGATACATTTTAATATCTCTAACTTTAGTCATTAGAATACTTAACTTTGTGGCATTAAGCTTTAAAGGATGTCCCAATGAGTATTCAGTTAATAGTTTAAAATATTATTTAAATACATCCAATATTAATAACATATACTTGAAATGTTATTTATTTTATTTTATGATTTTGTTTTTATATAAGACTATAGTATGTGATATTAGGTATTTTAAGATAGCTATTGTATGGACATAAAATTTGTTTTGCAAAACATTTTATTTTATTATATGAATTGTTTAGTAGCATTTTTGAGGAGTTTATTGATATTTTGCTAGTGGAAAAGGTGCATTGGGAGACATTTATGTTTGTAATATTTGCGTTTTCAATTGCTTGTTTGCACCTTTTTCATTTTTCCAACATTTTCTGAGCTGGAAAAGTCGGCGGAGAAGAGAAAGGAGTCAAAAACTGGAAATATCAAGTCTATTAAGCACTAAAGATAAGAATTAAGTTACTGTAAATGAAGCGGTAGAAATTCGAAAAACTATTTTGTTAATAATTTTTTTGTGCTTTCAATCATTTGATGCGTGCATTTTTCATTGATTGCTTTATTTTGTTTCGGCCTGCTTTCTAATCAACAAAAACTTGTCTAAGCAACTTTTGGTGAAATTTACGATCGAATCGAGTGAAAGCCCAGAAGCTTTTACAAAAAGAGAATAAAGTCATGAAAAAAAAATTGCAAAATTAAAATTTGGACAGCAAAACAACCAAAAACTACACGAATAATAATAACAACCAAAAACTACACAAATGAAACTAAAAGGGAGGCGAAAAGTGCAATAAAAACTGTAGATTTTAAGTGAAATAAATGCAAAATGTTTCGATATACTCCGTATTAATTCTGAAGGAGTGAATTTTGCAAAAAGTCTTGTGTTTTGATTAATTTGATGCGTAAATTTCATAGCGATTTTTTAATTATGTTTTAGCTTACTTGCAAATCATCCTCAGAAAAATGCGCCTATATAACTTCTGAAGAAATTTGTGTTTGAATGGAGTGAACACACAGAAGCTTTTATAAAAATAGGTCATGAAAAAAAGTTTAAAGAATCTGGACAGCAAAACAATGAACAAAACAAAGTACAAAATGGAGTGTGGACACAAAATTATACAAAATGCAATAAATAATTATCGTTATTAATCGCAAGATTTTCAAGTTTTGCAGATTAAATTTGTTGTTTTTACTCATTTGTTGCGTAACTTTTACCTTCTTTGCTTTATTATGCTTCGGCTTCGTTCAATTAATCAGGAAAAAACCTGCCTGGATAACTTTTGATAAAATTTACGATTAGATCGAGCTAAAACCCAGAGGCATTTATAAAAAGAGAACAAAGCCACGAAAAGAAAATAGTAAAAAAGCAATCTGGACGGCAAAACAATCAAACCTGAATGAATGCAGAAAGGAGTAGAACTAAAGGGAAATTTAAAAATATAAAATAAGTATGAAAATTTGTTGCGGTTTCAGCCATTTGATGGGCAAATTTCACTTCCAGTGCTTTGTTACGTTTCGGCTTACATCCAAATCATCACCAGAAAAATTTGCATTTATAACAAGTCGTGAACAAGAAGATTTGTAAAATTGTGGACAACCAAACAAACAAAAGTGGCAAACGAAAATTAAATGAATTCTGGACTGGAAAGGAATAAAAGGAAATTTAAAAGTATAAAAAACTGTAGTCATCGATCGAAACGATTACAAATGGTACAAGCCAAAAATAGTATTCTTTTCGAATGAAAGTGAAAAGTTAGTTTCAATAAAAATCAAACTTGCTGTCTTTTAACGAGTCGGGCTTTGGAAGTAACATTTTAATATAAATTCGACGCTCAAAATCGTCAAAATTATCGATTGTTCTTCAATACTTCACCAGTTCATATGGCTGGAAGATTTATGGTTTTTTCGTTCAAATCTCCTTTTCTTAAAATCCCCATATTTCCCCAAAGAAAACGCTGTTATCAATGACTCATTCCCTATTGCGGAGGTGAATTCTTGCGTGTTTGGCCCCTGGCTTTCAGCATTCGAAAATGACCATCTTCCGCTTCACATGGCCATTTTCCTGTCCAAATTTAGCCTGCCCTCGTCTCAGGACTTTGGATTACAAGTCGCCCTTTATAGAAAAAAGCTGCCCACAGAAAATTTGGCACAGGTTGCAATACATTTTGAGGCTGGCGCGCGCAACCTCTTTGTCCCGATCGAAATCAGTACGTTCACCACTGTACAGAGTTTATTCAGCGATTTTAGCAAAAAAAAAATTTGTCCGACGTTTCGCCAGCTGATGCCGCCAACATTTTCAAAGGCGATGCCACACTGTGTCTAAAGCACAAGTGGCGGAAAGTCGAATCGAATGAAGTCGAAGATTGGGTTTTGAGGCACCATGAACTTGATGGGGATTTTGTATGATGTAAAGTTTTGGCTTGGACAATCGAGACTCAACTAGCGGATGAAAGGAAAGAAGCTGAATAGGAGTTTGGCTATATTAGAGCGAGATGCAGAGATCAAGAGAGCAAAATAACGAAAATTTTAATCAAAATTAGGAAGTCGGACTTTGTTCAATTTTTGTTCTTTGCTGTAATTTCAGACTAATTTCTTTACAAGAAGAGACTCAAGTGATTAGTGCCGCTTCAATACCCTTTTGTAGTAAGGTGTCTTTGCACCCTAAAACGTTGCGTTTCAGGTCTTATAAAAGCAGCCTTTCTCAGTCTCCAACAATACAAAATTCAACTAATGATTAGTGAAAAACGCAAAAAATTCTGCTCTATTCGCTTCCTGCGAGCGTTCGGTAAATTTGGAACGCAGCGCTTGTAGGGTTGGAAAAAGCCCTTATCACGTCCAAACAGTCCGCAGTACGCTATTAGAAGCGTCGCGACGCCGAATCCCGACGTCGATTCACCCTCGGTGGGCGTAAGCATGATCCCGAAAATGTTTTAGTTAGTTCTCTTTCGCGCTTCTACCCGACTATTTCGTGTTATCCCGTCTCTTTTTTCGGGACTTTTTGTTATCCTGTGCCAAGACAGCTTTCTCCTGATCATTTTTTCTGACTTGGCGGTTTACTCAATTAAATGACCGTCTGAGCCTGGTTGTTGTTTTAGCGCTTCAAGGTAAGAGTGGTAGAATTGCTTGTTGATTTCAGTTTTTTTTTAAATAAACAAGCAGAAACAGACTGCCTTTACTGTTTAAATAGACCTTCTTTTTGTGTTCACCCACGAAGGTTTTCCTTCTCATATCTTGAATGGTTTACCTTTAGGAAAAATTATTTAGAGAAGATTTACGCTTAAAAAATCTGATAGATTTCCCGACGATTTCGTTTAATCCTGTGTTGTTTTTGGGAGCTTTTTTGCTTCCTGTGCCAAGACAGCTTTCTGCTATTTTCTTTTATCGTTTATCAGAATAGATGACTGTCTGCTACCAGATTTTTTCTAATGATTAACGATAAGAGTGGTAGAATTGCTTACCAATTGAATATTTCACTTTTCTTCAAAATATCCAAATTATTGCATGAAATAGACGCATGCAAAGAGACAGAAACTGACTGCTATTTAAAACAAATCTTCTTCTTGTCTTTATTCAAGAATATTTTGATTCTCCTACCTCTATTGGTTCTCCTTTTGAAAAAAGTTTAGAGCAGACCATTTTCTGAAATCTTTTCCGTTTGTCCGGGACATTTTGTTATCCTGTGCCAAGAGAGCTTTGTTTAAAGCTTCGTTAAAGCCCAACGGTGCTGCTGTTCAAAATAAACCTTCTCTTCAAGAAGATGTTCATTCTCATCTCTTTATTAGCTCTTATTTACGAGAAAGATCTAGAGGAGATTTATACAAAAAAAAAACGATGACTTTCAGATGCCTGAGCCAACAGGAGAACATCATGCAGAGCAACGGCAGGCGCCATCGCGCAATAATCCGCTTATCAAACCGTTTGTAGTGCTGGCTTTGCCAGGAATGTACTTGTTTTACAAGTACAACCAGTACAAAAGGAAAAGAAAAGAGAATGCGACAAGAAGACTGGCGGAACGAGAGCTGCAACATTTGAACAGCAAGATTGTAAGTATGCACATGCACTTTACATGATTTTGGGGCTCCACAAGGGGCAACAACAATTCCCAGTTGGCGGGTCGTTCCAAGTTACGAAAACTGCCAAGTTTCAAATGGCGAAATGGAGTTTTCTTGGAGGGTTTCTGAATTTTAAATTAGCTGGATGTTCCTGGAGGGAAATAAACGATGGAGCTCTTTAAAAATACAAATTGGATGCGGTGTCGCATTTTATTTTACTGATAAACTTCCGTAGGATCTGCGCGCTTGAAAATTGTTTTTTTGAAAATGGCATTAAATTGATAAGGAAGATGAGGCAAAGTGTTTGGTCAAACTTTGCGCAAACACTCCAAAATGCTTGAAGTGAACACAAGTTTTAACTCACACTTTTTTCTCTTGGTATTCCATTTATTGTCTCCCAGCGTCAATAAATCAACTGCTGCTTTCATTCTGTTTCTTCAAATTTACTACACTTATAGCGCGCTTTTGCAACTGAAGAAAATTATTACCCTCTTTGTACGGGCAAATTATTAAAATTCTTGCTTCTAAACTGTCTGCCGTATGTTTTAACACCCTTTTAGGTTTATGTTAGGCGCATATTAAACACTTTGCGCCAAATAGAGCCTAGTAGACTAGAGATATGTTGCAACTTTGCCTCACCTAATTACCTTAATAACCTATCCGGGATGCGAGCATTCTCTCACATATTACGCAAAATATCCTCCCGGGATAAAACCGGGGAGTAGACCCGTAAATAATATTCTTCCAGCGAATTAATGGAGCGAAAACTTGAATTTGCCGGGAATCAGGACGAATAAGTAAGGGTTTTAAGTCCTATTATTATCACCGCTATTATTAATTGAAACGACTTGAACAAGCTGAAAGAAACAGCTGCATTCTCTTCATTCATTTCCTGAATATTATCTTCATTGTTAATTGACACTGTTAATTGTGCAGTTCTTAGTAAAACAGGCAGAGGTTTGAGGCAACAATAGAAATATAATAATCATAAAAAAACATTTTGTTAAAACTGGTCCTTTCTAAACATGTTTTTGCAAAAGTGTGCAATGGATAATCTATTTGAAAATGAACTGGTCGCAATTTCCCCTGGGAAAAGAGTGGACGGTTTATAAATTTACCCATATTTCGCGTGATAACCCCAGTTATTACTTAAGCCGCGAAACAGTTAAAACATGCAACTTTCCTCCAAAAGGTGTGACGTGTCAAGATAGACAATTCGCATGGAACAAACGGCTTGAGAGAATTCAACAGCTTAAAAGGGGTGCCAACAACTGTTACAAGTGTGCAGTTATTTGGAGGATATTTAGCTGGAGATCATAAAGAAAACTGGCACACTAACTGAAATATTAAGTGTTTATTGCCAATATTTCGCGCCCCTGATCAGTTATCTGATGACTTTCTGCTTGAGCAATTCGTGATCGAGTTTTTCCCTTTTTGCAAATAATGGTAGTTCAGATTTCCCCGTTTGAGCCTCAATATATTTGAGGTAGTCAAGCGCCATTTGTTCGCGTTCCTTGATTTGCAGTGCTGATCGCTCCACCAGCTCTAACTCCAGCTTGGAGAGTGGGGGCACTCCGAAATTGTGGACCACTCCTCCTCTTGAAAAGCGAACGGTGCTCACTAAATATCTGAAAAATCGTTTGGAGTCGAGATCAGATTGCAAGAATTATTGTAAAAATATCGTTGTTTTATACTTGTGCGTTTCACGTGTAAATATTTTCGCAGAAATGGAACTAATTGGCAGGTGGGAAGTTTCAAGGGGCAGAGAATCGCTTGCAATTCCAGATGGAAAAGTTTGAAGTGAAGACATAATTGGTTGTTTACGTGTTTGGTCGATTTTAGCTAATGCTACTTCTTTTAGAACTCTTTTGGATTATTTACAGCTTTGTACATACTTTCCTGACTGTGTTTCAATTCCAAATCAAAATCAATTCCTGGGCTTCAGTCATTTATTGTCTATTTATCAATTAAAATACGTTTCGGTGTTCCACCATCATCAGTTTCTATGTGTAGCGTTGTTGCTACTTTAAGCCTTGGCATATATTTGGTTCAAACCAAATATATGCCAAGGCTTTTGCTTGCAAATTGCAACAAGTACAAAAGGACAACTTCTTAAGTCGCCTTATATTGCTAATATTCACATAAATTATCCTTATTAATTCTCGTTGCCCAGTTCAAACAGTGTGGACGAAAAAAATGTATTGGAAAATAATCGGAAAAGTCAATAACAAAAAGCCGTTTAATGCAATTTTGCAAAAACTAAATATCTAACGTAAAAAACAGAGGAAAAATTACTAGTAATGGATGATTTAGAGCAAGATTAACCAGCTCATAAAAATTATGTGGACACATTGGGCAAAACGTTTTAAAAACTTCATAAAAACGGCTATCGTTTTTATGAAAGTTTGGATCCCAAGGACCCAAAAGTTTAAAGTGGTTAAAACGTTAAATTTTACAGTTAAATCTCGGAATTTCCGTAAAAAGAAGATTTTATGAGAGGCTCAAATGAATCTATGTTCCATTTGTCGATTGATCCTGGAAAACTTTGCAATTTCCCCTGAGTTCATTTAATTTTAATCATTTAAATAATTTATATTTGGTCCAAACCAAATATATGCCAAGGCTTAAAGTAGCAACAACGCTACACATAGAAACTGATGATGGTGGAAAACACCGAATCGTATTTTAATTGATAAATAGACAATAAATGACTGAAGCCCAGGAATTGATTTTGATTATTTACAGCACTAACTTCTCTAGATGTTTCTCACCAATTGTTTTTATTGCTGATGAAAATTTCAACATTTTTCCATTGTGGCCATCCCAAGCGTCGAAGCCTTTCTGTTCAAAGCTTTGTGAGTTGGAAGCTTTAAAGCCCATTTTTTCTTAACTCGGCTTTATTCTTCTGAAGTTGTTGTTGGGTGGTGCAAAGCAAAACAGTATAGAAACATGATGTTTTACCGAAAGCAGAGGAAATAAGGGGAAATTAACAGACAAATGGAAAACACGGATCATTTCAGTTATGAAGCTATAAATTCGTTACTCCAATTACTTGAGAATTCCGCAGAGACCTCCCTTTACAACATCAGTTCTTACTTTTTATTTTTTACAAACTTCTTTTTGGGTATTTCGCCTCAAAAATTTTTGTCTTTAAAAAAGACAGAATTTCCTAACGTCTTTTATTACAGATTGATAAATAGT